TTACATTTTTTCTTTCTTTCTTTCGTTTTTTTTTAAGAGACAACGTCTCTTGATGTTGCTCAGGCTGGAATGCAGTGGCTACTTACTGGCCTGGTCACAATACGCCACAACCTTGCATGAGTTTTCTGCCTCAGCTTCCTGAGTAGCTGGGACTACAGGCTCATGCCACCACACCCAGTTTTAAATTTTTGACTAGGTAATGATTCACTTGATTCAAAAAGAAAAAAATTACGAAAACGTACATAAGGAAAAGTTGACCTCCCACTCATCTTCCATCTGCCCACCCCTTACCAAAACTATCAATTACCAAACAGGAAACCATATTCTTAGTTTCTTGCCTGTCATTCTAGATAATTTCCTATGCATCCATAAATAATTGCAGATACAGAGTGTTTTTCCTCCCCTTCCTCTTTGCACAAATGGTAGTGTGCAAATGTATCCCATATACATTGCTACACACTTTAATTTTTTATTTTATTACATAGAATTTACCCTATTCCTGGCCCGACACAGTGGCTCATGCCTGTAATCCCAGCACTTTGGGAGGCCGAGGTGGGCAGATCACTTGAAGTCAAGAGTTCGAGACCATCCTGGCCAACATGGTGAAACCTCATCGCTATTAAAAATACAAAAATTAACTGGGCATGGTAGCACACAACTGTAGTCCCAGCTACTCCGGAGGCTGAGGCAGGAGAATGCTTGAACCCAGGACGTGGAGGTTGCAGTGAGCCAGGATCGTGCCGTTGAACTTCAGCCTGGGCAACAGAGCAAGACTGTCTCAAAAAAAAAAAAAAAAAATATATATATATATATATATATACACACACACACACACATCCTATTCCTTTTTAAAACAGCTACATAGGACTCAATCATATAGATGCAACATTATTTAATTAGCCCGACTACTAGGCACTTAGGTTAGTTTGTTGCTGTTGTTGTTTTAATATTAAAAATAAGGCCACAAAGTATAACCTGGTGCTATTCCTTCCCCACAGTATAGCTTTAAGATAAATTCCTGGAAGTGGAATTGCTGAGTCAAACATTATGTACATTTTCATAAATCTTGTCAAACTGCGCTCACGGGTTGCACCAACATAAGGTTTCATCAGTGATGAATGCAGAGGTCTATTCTCCACCCTTACTGGCCTCCCTCCCAAAGAGGCAGTGTCAAACTTTTGGAGTTTTGCCAACCTGACAGGGATTTCAGCATAGTATTAATTTGTGTTTCTTCATTTATGTGCAAAGTTGAGCATCTTTTCAAATGTTTATAAACAACTTGGGTCTCCTTTTCCACTGTATGCATGTTATTATTACTTTTTTTTTTTTTTGAGATGGAGTCTTGCTGGAGTATAGTGGCGCAATCTCGGCTCACTGCAACCTCCACTTCCCAGGTTCAAGCAATTCTCCTGCCTCAATCTCCTGAGTAGCTGAGACTACAGGCACGTGCTACCACTCTGGGCTGATTTTTAGTAGACACGGGGTTTCATCATGTTAGCCAGGATATTCTCAATCTCCTGACCTCATGATTTACCTGGCTTGGTGTCCCAAAGTGCTGGGATTACAGGCGTGAGCCACCATACCTGGCTATGTATGTTATTTGTATAAGAAATGCTCACCCATGAGCCGAGATCACGCCACAGCACTGTCACCAGGCTGACAGAGCAAGACTCCATCTCAAAAAAAAAAAAAAAAAAAAAGCAATGCTCACTCATGTATTCATTCATTGACCATGGACTACACGTGGACTTTATGTTGGACACTATAGGAGCTACTACAGGGTAGATGAGTAAACTTGAGACACAGCCTTGCCCTCTCAGAACATGCAATCTAGTGGAAGAGAAGAATTTTGAGCTAGGTATTGAACATGGATGGGACAGTTACATACATTTATCTATTTGTGCAACTATATATGTACCTTATATGTAGAAAAATGTTTGGCTCTATACTGAAATGAACAGAAATGATCTTTGAGCACAAGTGACTTTTTTCTTTCTTTAGTGTTTTCTGTATTTTTCAAGCTTTGTCATGTACATACATTATGTTTGATGTTAGGTAATTTTTCTCTTTATTGTTTAAGTTTTTCAAGGTTGGTTGACTTTTTTTACGGGGAACATGTATGACTTTTTGCAATTAGACAAAAAGGAAATAAATCATATGAAGACATCATACACACACCGTTTACATATGTTTTAGACCTAAATAAAACACAGGAAAGGAGAGTTCTTTCTCGAGTGATGGTGAGTTTGAAGAGGAAGTTATAGAAATCTACTTTCACAGCTGGGACTTGCCGTCACAAATTTCAACACAGGCCTTCACTCACCAGAAGAACTGAGGACTTGTCTCTCTTCAGCTGGGCAGCCTCGTTTGTGTGGTGGAATCTGGCCTCAGGGCTCAGGCCTGGGAATTTCCCTTTTCCGATGCCAGCTTCAGGCCCAGTGTCCAAGAGCGACCCCTGTTGGTGGAACTTAAATATGCTCATTATTTACGAGCTGCTTCTCCAAGGGTGGAGATGCCCAATTCGGTTTTAATTTTTTGCGGGTCTGCTGGAAACCTTGAGACCCACAGCCCACTCACAAATTACCCTAACGACATCCTGCTTCCCTTTTCTCCTTGTCTCCACCCACCTACTCCAGGTTTTCCTGGACAACTGGGTCTGGAGGCTTGGCGTAGGGAGACACAGGTGTGGCCAACCTTTCAAACTGCTCACAGGTAGCCTGCCTTAGGGGCAGGGGCTGGCTTTTCTGATCAGCAGGTGGAGTGTGAAGGCCCTTGCTTTAGGAAGCAGACGTGGCGTCCTGCCAGCAGACCAAGGATGCCAGACTTGGGTAGCTTGAGGCAGCAGTGAGCAGGCGGGCCGTTCTACTGCACAAGGTTGTAGCTGAGGGGGCTGCATCCCACCTGAGAAAGGTTGGCTGGAGGCAGATGCAAAGAACGGAGGAAGTGGCAGGTCACACCATTGATGGGCATTTCCCTTCTCTCTGGAGGCTCTCCGCTGGGAGAGTTCGGCAAGAACCAGAAAACCAACACAGCCCTTCTTGACCAGCTCCTTCCTGTCTTTGCATTTATAAGAGCAAGACCTTGGACTGGAGAAGTGTGCATAGTAAATCCACCAGATTTTGCTAATATTGCTCCATAAAGAATTACCCGGCACGCCCCGTTCATCATCGAGTGCTGAATGGCAGTGCTGAAGGGAAAACTGGCTGGAGAATCTGGTTTTAGACATGCGGAGCCTGTTTGTAATTCATCGGCATTGCTCTTTTCCCCTGGGTATTGGTCTGTGATAAAGAAAACTGGATACCAGAGGAATGTGTTGGGCATTTCAGTGCTTTGAGAAAACATGACTAAGCACTTCTCAGGGCCCATCCCTAGACAGGACTCTGCCTTTACCACTTCATCTCTCAGATGCCTGTGGAGCCAACCCCCACCAGAGAGCTGCCTGGCTCCACTCAGGCCCCAAATCTACTGTCTGTGGATGGAAAATCCTGCATGTCGTGCCAAGCAAGGCTGATTCCAGGCTGACCTTTCGCCATTTGGGCCAAATGCCCTGCACCCCCAATCCTCCTAACACACAACTACTGTTTGTGGGTCTAGTGTCTGGGGGCTCCTTAAGGAAGAAAAAAATAAACAGGAATCACGGTGAGAACTGGGAAGAGGGCTCTGGGGGGAGGCTCCATTTTATTCTGCTGGAAAGAAAAGGCTGGGGAGGAGGGCTTGCCATTGGATCCAGTTCATTACTTCCCAGTAAGTCAAAGAAGGGCTGAGAGTCCTGACTGCCATCCCCAGTGAGGATCAAGTTCAGCTTTCTGGAAAAGGCCTAGAGGTGGAATGCTGGATTTCCCTGGTTTAACCAGGTGACCAAAGGCTTCTGCTTCTGCCCAGAAGAGATGGTCACAGACCTCCACAGCTTCTGCCCACCACAGCCTAGCCTTCAAGTCCAGACCTAGATTCTCAAAGCTAGCGTGTATTGCACAGGATGGGGACCTTGAGGAGCTGGCTTTCAGGGAACACTGGCAGGAAGGAAGAAAGAAATGTATATCTAGGAGGCCTCTGCTAATCAGGAAAGGGGCCTGAGTCACACTCTAAAAAGCAGAAGCAGAGAGCAGGTATCAACGCCCTCAATTTAAAGATTAAAACAAGAAAAACACTCCTCACCTCCCTGCAAAACAAACAGACAAACAAAAAAACTACGCTGATACTCAGACAGGGGAAGCAGTTGGCCCTGGTCAAACAGTAGGTAAGCGGCAGAGTCGAGAGAAGACTCCATCTGCCCTTAGGGACTTTTCCCACTGGTACTGTTTCCTCCCGCCGCGGAATATCTAGACCAGCTGCACCTTCTTGCTTGTACCCTTCGGGACTTTGGCCTGCGCAGTTAAAGAGGCACAGAGCCCTCCCACCCAATGAAATGTCTCTAACTTACCCAGCACCTATTAGGTGCTTAGAACCTGGACTTTCCCGACCTCTTAAATCTCACCATTCTGGTGAGGAAGCCTCACAGAACCAATTTTCCTGATGAGGAAACTGAAGCCGGGAGGGTTTAGGGTCCTGTACGCAGTCGCAACGGCCACGTCTGCACCCAGTGTCAGACCAAGGTCGCCTTCACTGCACACCCGCTCATCTTCCTCTCGGGTGACCTGCTAGACCCATTCCAGAATCTCTTTCGAAGGCCACTCTTTTGCTGCTGAGTTTGAGAATCTGAGACCTAGCCTGGGACCCTGACTCGTGGCGATTCTGCGGCAGGCGCAGGCTTTTCTCCTGTCCTCCACTGCCTCTTCGCCTGTGAGGAAGCCCCCGGGCGCAGAAGGGGCACGGGCGACCCCGGCCCCTGGGAGTCCCGGGAACGCGCTGTCCCGGGCACCGAGGCGGCTTCGCGAGTACCGGCCTCCAGCGCCCTCACCTGGCCGCCGCTGGCGGGACGCAGGCTCCGCGGGCTCCGTGGGCTCGGGTCTGCGTCTCCCAGAGCCGCCGCCAGGGCCAGTCCCGGTCCCGCCCGGGCGCAAGGCCCCCGCCCGACTTGGGCAAGGCGGGGGCGCGTGGAACGAAGCTCCTCGGGGGGCGAGGGAGGGAGCTTCGGTGCCGCGCGGGCGTCAGGGGCTCCACGGGGGAGGAGTCAGGAAAAGTGGCTATAAAAGCGGCCGCTCCGGCGGACTGCCGGGGAGCTGGCGCGCAACGGAGCCCAGCGCTGTGCGATAGCTTGGAGCCTGGCGAGTGCAAGCGGCGCGGGGAGCCAGTGGGGCTGAGCGTGGCCAGGGTCGGAACCCGATTTCCCACTAGGCTTGCCCACGCCCCGGGAGCTCGCGGTGCCCAGCGGTCAGAGGCAGACACCCGGAGCCGCTGCGCTCCTGGCCCGCGAGGTGTGGCACTGTCTCGGCCACCTACCCAGAGGTAAGAGGGCCTGCCTGGGGGCGTAAGGAGGAGCTGACGGTCCAGGCCACAGAAGGGAGGTAGGAAGCGGGGCCCGCGCCTCCACCCGGCATAGGGTAAACGTTACCTACCTCAGTTTCTGTTTGTCCCCCTTGTGCTGTGCGGTCCACCTCTGTCTGTCTGTGTGTCCATACGTCTGTTGATGGGCACGCGCCCCTGGCACTGTCCTCTGTGGGATTTCTCTGAGATCCTGTGATGCTCTGCAAGCTGCAGGTGCCGGGAGGGGGGCACTGGAGTCCCCAGAGGGCATCCAGAGGGCAGACTCCTGTTTCCCGTAGGTTTTTCCCCTTCTGAATGGCACCGGGGGCTTGCGCCCAGGAGAGTGTTTCGCCGAGTAGGGAGTACCCAAAGGGTCAGGTCTTGGGGTCCTGCCGCCAGGGAGCCAGCTCGCACTGAGCGCTAGCGGGCGTGCGCCTAGCAACAGGTCTGAGCCCTGCTGCTCCAGCCTCCGCACACTGTTCCTCCCGGTTTCCCTCGCCTCCCTGTGCCTCCGGGACAGCGCTAGGCACCCCGCGACGCGCTGGCGCGGGGCCGAGCGCAGGCAATTGCAATGTCAGATGACCCCGGGGGCCTCTGCTGATGTTTAGACTGAGATTCCAAATGTGGCATCGCTGGAAGGAGGTTTGGTGTTTCCTGGCAAAGGACGTCGGCTCCATGAAAGGTCGTGTTAGGTTGAGAGGAAAGGCAGCGTCCTGGCAGAGCGCTGGCCAGGTCTCAGCTCGCTGCTCTGGGGACGAGGGCCAGTGAGATGCTCTAGAATGGACCCCGCGGGTTGCCTGTGTTCAAGATAGAGGAGTGCAGTGCGCCCTGGGTCCTCAGCCGCAGACTCACTCTCCGCGACCGCCGCCGTTCCCCAAGGGTCGGGCGCTACAGCAGTCCCAGGAGCTCTGCCAGCTGCCGGGTTTGAGGTCTCGAGTTCTTCTCCAAGCAGCCAACGCTACCCACAGGTGAGAGCTCCCTTTAAAAACTAAGCTTTTGATGTGTGAGCCAGTGACTGGCTGCAGCCCCATCCCAGAGACTGCAAGCCTGGGAGCGGGTCTCTATCCCTGTGGTCTGGAAAGTGATCTAGGGCACGCCGGAGGGCGGGGAGTCGGCGGCTCTGCGTGCCCAGGCGCGACGCCACCATGGACAGCTCCCAGCCACTTCCTCCACTCGGGGTCTGTGGCCCTGGGTCTCCTGGGAAGTTGTGCGCTTTCTTCCCAGACCCAGGGCGCTGGGGCGCTGGGGCACTGGGAAAGAGGAAGGGGAATGATAGTCCGCGGGAGCCCTCGGTATTACCACTCAGGAGGCAGCCCAGCCCTCAGGAGTCTGTGGTTTTTGACCAGGTCCTAGCTGAGCCGGTAGCTGGCTTTCTACAGGACCTCCCGGGAGCACTCTGTGCTTCTCTGGCTTTTCTGTGACACCACAGAGACCCCTCAGAGCTGTTAGGAAAGGGCAGCCCCTGCGAATCCGACCCAGGCAGTGAGATAATGCCAGATGCAATTACGCCAGACGTAATTGGGGATCCAGCTCAAACTATTTTTGTGTAGGTTCATGTGTTGCATTAAATTAAATTATGTAGTAAATATGGTATTGGGTGGATACGTTAGTTTCACGATTAATGACAGAATGGAGAAGAAATCAAATAGAACAAGTTTATAGAGAATACGATCAGATGCATTTGCAAAAGCAACTATGCTGTTTTCCAGTCCTAATAGTTTTGTTCAAAGTGCATGACATTCTTGAAGCAATTTCCAAAGGCCCCTCTTTAGCCCAGCAGATGACTTTTCAAGTTGGTTACTTGAAACAGGGTGGAAAACATGTAGGGTTTAATCTGTGTACCAAATTAAAGATCTGTCTCCTCTGGCAAGAAATATACCGGATGGGGGTCTTTTTAGTCATTTCCACCCATACAGAACTGTGTATCTTCCTTTATTTTAAAACTGCAAGAAACCCAGGTCTGCTTTTTCTTTGTGACTGGTAAAGGCCTAGGGTAAAAACAATTAAACACCTTTTAAAAAAGTTTTTTTATTTTGAGAGCATCTTTGGAAAAATTGCTCAAATGTTTTGTGCCTGTTTGCTCATCTGTAAACAGGGAATAATGCAATCCCATCTTGCAGGGTTGCTATGAGAATTGGTGTAATTGGCACAATGTAAAGCATTTAATCTAGTCCTGAGCACAGAGAAATCTTTTAAAATGGTAGCAATCACAGTTATATTTTAAAGACAGGTGTGCATTTCTTTTGAACTACGGTCACCATCCTTTGCCCTCTCTCTCAACCTAGTAACTGTTTGATAGGGACGCTGTCTTCACTTTATATTTACATCAAGAACTTGATGGAATTGATGAAAGTGCCAGAGTTGATCACAATGCAAAGAATTTATTATTTAAAGATAAATGGAAGAAATTGTATGTGATAAAAATCAGTCAGCTGTTTTTTCCTACCTATACCACTTGGAGGAAAGAGAAAAGTAAGTCATTTTCAAAATATTATCACAGCTTTCTGGTTCAGATGATCAGTTCTTCCTGATTGTTCTTTCACAAGCGTGCAAGGTCTTCTAAGGGGCTTTGTTGTTCTGGGAGTGAAGTACTCTTGGGTGTTGACAGGGAGTGACCTCCAAGTACTGGTTTCTGGATCACTGCAGGATGAAGTGGGGGTTATCTTTATGGAGTGGGACTTGGCCCAGGGGATCACTAAGTGGTCATTGCCAAGCAGAAGCATCTCACTTCATGGTTGAGCCTTGCCTTGCTTATGTGTGAGCTTCTGACTAAGACAATTGCTCTGCCCAGAGCAGTAGGCACTTATTTGATTCCAGCTGGACTGGAGGGTTCCCTCCAGCTCTGCATTTTGGGGTTCTGTCTGGTAGTCATCACCAATACATGACACACCACAGCAGTTTGGATAATGGAATTGTATAATACCCAATCTTCCAGTTAGATTTTTTTCTCAGAAAAGGGTGTGTGTGTGTGTGTGTGTGCGTGTGCATGTGTGCACGCATGTGTGTGTACATGTGTGTGCATGTGAGTGCTTTTATCCTTGTCAGTTTTACATTCTTGTGCTCTTAGATTTTTATTCTTCCCCTCCTTCTACTCTTAACAGGTCAGAAGGAATCTTAGCTTCTTCCACCTAAAAGGATTGGAGTCGAAGAATACAGTCTACAGATGCTCAGAGTCTTTCTGTGACTTTCAACCACTGGTGACATGAACGGAGCAGGAGGACGTGGCCCTCAGATGACCCTGAATTCCTGGCTATCTCCTGTGCAGATTCCAGTTTCCAGCATACACTTGGCTTTCTGGTGAGAAAATGATGGAACTACAGAACACTCTAAGAGTGAAGGGCCAATGAGGGAGGAACAGTCATGCGAAGTGATAGAAATGAGCTCTCCATCAGCTCCGTGCTATTCTGTCTGTTGCAGCAGTGTCTGAGTCCTTGGGACAGACACATCCAATGGTGAGAGTGGCATTCAGTGGGGAAGGCCAGCAGGATGAAAAGGGTGAACTCAATTACTCACATCAGCCTCCTTTGGAGCCTGCCACTTAAGTGACCTCTTTTTAGTATTTTCTGTTGTACTCACAGAGCATCCCAATTTGATGGATTAAATGCAATTTGTGTTTGCAGTTATAGTTCAAAAGAGAAATGCAAACATGTAGGTTGGGTTCCTAAATGGGAACAAAGTCATGTTTGTGAGCTGCATCCACAAGATTGCGTATCTTTGAAAAGTCTGGACAACACGTCTCTTTCCACGTGATGGCACATACCCGATTGTTGGATCTTATCAGGGTAAAGCATCAACTACCTCTCACTGCTTGGTTTTTACAATTTTCTGGAGACAGTTTCAGTTTCCTTTGAACAGTGAATAGGAAAAGATCACTTTCTTACTTTTTTGTGTCCAGTTGGGTTGGCAGGAGGCTGGAAGAGGCAATGGGTACTGGGGGAGACTTCTCAGTGCTGGGTTCCTTTCTGCTACCTTGCAAGCTATTCAGCTGGGCCTAAGCCTCCTTTCTCTAAAGGCTGGCACGTGGAAACTTTGCTAATTTGAGTGGGATGGTGGCTTTCATGATGACTTTTATTAATATCTGCCCCTCTGCTTTTGCCACTCTCTTCAGGGGCCATCTTACCCACTCTGGCAGGCCTGTAGTCCTTCTTTTTCCTCTGCATGCCCTGGCACCAGGCTTTGTTCAAGCTTGGTTCTTCAGAAGGGAGGCTGCTTGCAGAGAAACGTCATCAAATATACATTTGCTGTCTGCTTAGTTCCCTTGGTGTCATTAAACACACATGCACACAGAGCAAGGGGTGCTGCTACTCCTCTCTGCCCCTGTTATTTTTCAGGGCCCGTCCCTAGGCTCAGCTTGGCTCCAGGAATCCAAATCTATCCTTCCCTCTCCACCTCTGTAGGTACGTGAACCCTAGGGAGCACAGGCAGGCAGGCCTTCCTTGCACTGGTGCCCACTCAGAGTAAGGAGCTGGACAGCCCGGCTCCTTGCATTGGGAAATCTTTGTGTCTTTTGGAAGGGCAGTCATATCAGGGGTTTGGATACAACTAGAGTTTAAAGTCCTTTGCCCAGACTTTGAAAACCTTTGAAGACCTTTCAAATTTCCAGGTCTTTGAAAGCCTTGTGAATTTCTTTCTCTCCTGTCAGTAGGAGAGCTGCACCAGTAGACATCTTCTGTTATGGAGAAAGCACATCTAGATAGTTCTGGCGTGGAAGGTGTCCATGCCCGATTGTCTTGTGGGTTTCTAGACATTACACACAGTGGAGAGGGTCACAGGTTTCCCAAGGAGCCTGCTTTACTCTGGCCCTCTCTGGGGTGAGGAGTTCATGCTGTTCATTGGAGTCTTTGTGGCTGTAAGGTACACACACAGCCTTTGGGGCGAGGAATGGGCAGCGGCCTGGAGCACAGGCACCTTCTTCTGTGGCTCTACCAGTCAGGAAAGGTGGAACTCACTGGAGTTTTCCTGGGGGACTGCTTTACGGGTGCAGGTCATGGTGACACTGCTTCTTGCCTGGACTATCTGCTAAAGCCTGGACAGGTTCTCTGGCTTCTCTAGTCTTCTGTTTAGGAGTTAGGTTAGGCCAGTGCTTCTCAGACTTAAACTATGCTAACAAATCACAGGGGTGCATGTTAAAGTGTGCTTTCTGATTTGGCAGATCTGAGTCAGGGCCTGAGAGTCCACATTTCCAACATGCCCCCAGGTGATGCTGCTGGTGCACAGAGCTTCCTTCAAGTCACGGGGGTCCATGTCATGATGACATTCATGACTGTATGTGATTCTGATTCTAATTCTTCTTGGTATAATTTAAGTCAGTTTCTGTTGTCCGAGTAGAGGACGCCCAGCTGGTCTGCGCCCTTCTAATGACCTTCTAATGACCCTTCAAATTCTTGGAGATAATTATTGTCGCTCCTAAGCCATCTTATCAGCAGACTAAATATCTTGGCCCCCTTTAAGTTTCCACTTTTCCCTGTCATAATAAATTTTCCAAAGCTCTCTGGACCAAGCTACTTTTAAGTGCAAGATCATTGTGCAAATGGCAGTTTATCTTTGCTTGGCAGAGGCATTTGAATGTAATTTTGGTGGCATTAAGAGATCACTTGGGGAATTTCATCTAACTCTGGTTCCAGACACTGAGAATGCATGTTTACATTTAAACAACTTTTTTTAGACTCCAAAGATCACAACTTCTTCCTTTTTCAACCTGAAAATAAAATTTAATACTCAATTATCTTCCTCAACTCCCTCCCTGTGGCACTCCTGGGAGGACTCACTGGTCATCCCCAGTGCATTCTGGGTAGCCCAATTGCATTCTGTCACCCCCACCATACTCAGAAGCAGAAACTAAGTTGAGTGCAACTTTTTGACCATCTTCTATGAGGCACTGAGTCACTGAGAAGGCAGTTGAATACATGGTCCCTGCTCTCAAAGAGCTAGAAGCCTGGTGAGGGGACAGACATCCAAGTCTGAAGTTGTCATACAGAGTAAGGGGCCTAGGACAGATTAGTCAGGAGCAGTGAAGGGCAGGGGACCTGCTGGAGAAACGAAGATCAATAATTCAGCCAGAGGACATCCGAAGAAGCTTCACTGAGGGCGTATGAGGAGAGTCAGAAGCTCAGAAAGGCCTAACCCCCTTATTTCCTGCAACCTCTGCATGAAGTTTCTTACCTGCCTTAGGTGCATAAGCTCCCTTACCTGCCTCAGGTACATAAGCTCCCTTACCTGTCCAGGTACATAGCTCTCTTACCTGTCCAGGTACATAAGCTCTCTTACCTGTCCAGGTACATAAGCTCCCTTACCTGTCCAGGTACATAAGCTCCCTTTCCTGTCCAGGTACATAAGCTCCCTTACCTGTCCTGGTACATAGGCTCTCTTACCTGTCCAGGTATATAAGCTCCCTTACCTATATCATGTGCATGAGCTTACCTGTCCAGACTTTGGGCTACACTGGGCACAAGAGAGAGTGCTTCTGTTAGGCTTCTTTCCTTTAGGAGAACTTTAGTTTTCTAGACTAGTAATGTAAAAATTACTTGGACCACAAAATGCTTTTTTTCCAATACAATTTTAGTAAATCCAATTTAAAAACTAGATAAGAAGTGGCTCTGGTTGGGATGGGAGCTGATTTTTTTCTTGAGGTCCCTCAAGCAGTTCCACTGAGCTCTGGATTCCAAGGAGCAGTCTGAAAACCTTGGTTCTGGGTCAGTTTTTTTGCTTTTGGCAGTCTTATCAATAGTGTTAGCTTGGTTTTATTGTGGTTTGTGTTGCTGTGTGTTTTTGTATGTTTTGTTTAGTTTTTGTGACAAGGTCTCACTTTTGTCACCCAGGCTGGAGTGCAGTGGTGTGAACACGGTTCACTGTAGCTTCAACCTCCTAGGCTTAGGTGAGCCTCAAGCCCACCAAGCAGCTGGGACTAATTTTAGCATTTTTTTGTAGAAGTGAGGTTTTGTCATGTTGCCCAGGCTGGTCTCGAACTCCTGAGCCCAAGTGATTCGCCCACCTCTGCCTCCCAAAGTGCTGACATTACAAGTGTGAGCCACTGCACCAGCCTGCTGTGTCTTTTTAATATTCTGGATGTCTTGCTCTGTGTGTGTGTGTGTGTGTGTGTGTGTGTGTGTGCGCGCGCGCGCAGTTCTCCATCAACAATTTGCAGTGAAAATTCAAAACCAGAATTAAAATTAAAAATGAAATCTGGAATTATCCCGTGCGTGATAATCCAACAAAGACGGGGTACATGCCATCAAAAAGTAGGCAAAAGATATGGACAGACACTTTTCAAAAGAAGACATTTATATAGCCAACAAACATATGAAAAAATGCTCATTATTGCTTGTCATTAGAGAAATGCAAATCAAAACCACATTGAGATACTGTTTCACGCCAGTTACAATGGTGATCATTAAAAAATCTGGAGACAGCCGGGCATGGTGGCTCAAGCCTGTAATCCCAGCACTTTAGGAGGCCGAGGTGGGTGGATCACGAGGTCAAGAGATCGAGACCATCCTACTTAACATGGTGAAACCCCATCTCTACTAAAAATACAAAAAATTAGCTGGGCATGGTGGTGCGTGCCTGTAATCTCAGCTACTCAGGAGGCTGAGGTAGGAGAATTGTTTGAACCCAGAAGGCGGAGGTTGCGGTGAGCCGAGATCGCACCATTGCACTCCAGCCTGGGTAACAAGAGCAAAACTCCGTCTCAAAAAAAAAAGAAAAATAATCTGGAGACAACAGATGCTGGAGAGGAGGTAGAGAAATAGGAACACTTTTACACTGCTTGTGGGAGTGTAAATTAGTTCAACCATTGTGGAAGACAGTGTGGCGATTCCTCAAGGACCTAGAAATAGAAATTCCATTTGATCCAGCAATCCCATTACTGGGTATATACCCAAAGGATTATAAATTGATCTATTATAAAGACACATGCACATGTATGTTCATTGCAGCACTGTTTACAATAGCAAAGACTTGGAACCAGCCCAAATGCCCATCAATGATAGATTGAATAAAGAAAATGTGGCACATACACACCATGGAATACTACGCAGCCATAAAAAGTGATGACTTCATATCCTTTGCAGGGACATGGATGAAGCTGGAAACCATCATTTAGAAAACTGACATAAGAACAGAAAACCTAGCACTGCATGTTCTCACTCATAAGTGGGTATTGAACAATGAGAACACATGGACACAGGGAAGGGGACACCACACACTGAGGTCTGTTGGGGGGGTGGGGGGCTAGAGGAGGGATAGCAGAGGGTGGGGAGATTGGGGAGGAATAACATTAGGAGAAATACCTAATGTAGGTGACGGGGGGATGGAGGCAGCAAACCACCATGGCATGTGTATACCTATGTAACAATCATGCACAATCTGCACATGTACCCCAGAACTTAAGTAAAAAAAGTGGGGTACATGGAAGACCAATGGAAAAGGCTATATATCATAGGTGCTGGTCCAGAAAACTCCAAGTTATAGCTGAGCATGGGAGGGACAAACAAAACCGTGAGCTTTTTGCAAATATTCAGGCTTCTTATTCACAACCTGGTCAGTTAATCTTGTTAAACCTCCCAATATTTCTTTATAAAAGCTGGTAAGAAAAAATCATCTTATTTTCAGGGTTTAAAATTTGGCAAATTCGATAGGATCTTGCATCCTTTTTCATTATGTCAAAAAGCTAAATGTGATCGCAAGGTGTTTTGAAGGTGGGGTTTGAAGAAAGGAGACAAGTCAAACAGATAATGGAAGAGCTCCACTGGGAGGCGCAGGACGAGGGGCCTCCAGCTTTTAGCTGTGGCTTCTGTCTGCCTCCTACGAAGCTGACCTCAAGGGAGAAAATGATACCCTGAGTGGTGCAACACCCGAAAAGAGGCTGCCCCACACTGATGGGTGGTCCCAGTCTTTAGAAAGGGATCTGAAGAACCCCTTCTGGGCTTGGAGCCAGCTCTAAAAACATAATCATATGAACTATTTAAGATGTCGAGAGTGAAGCGTGTTCAATGTAGAGAGTTTAGACAACACTTTTAACTCTGGAAGAATCCTGCTAGGTATGTGAGGAACTCTAGCAGAGGGAAGGGGCTGCCTGGCAGCTGGGTTCCCCTCCAGGATGGGCATTTGCAGTTGCCTGGGGCTCCTTCTGCCGGCCATACCAAAAACCTGTTGCCCTGGGCAGCGTTGCGAAGGCTGGATGTTGTGGGTCATCAGCGGCATCTCTCTCTGGGGGGATCTGCCCATATCACCATAGCAACCGGAACATACTAAAACAGACTGACTCCCAAACCTTGGGATTCGGCCTCTCTCTCTCCTACTTCCTAGATTTTTCCTCTCCTACTTCCTAGATTCTTGTAAAGAACAGTAGGAATAAGCCCCAAAAGCAGTGCATAGGGAGCCAGTTTGGGTGAACCATTAGAAAAAAAAAAGTTTTTAAGGCCGGGCGTGGTGGCTCACGCCTGTGATCCCAGCACTTTGGGAGGCCGAGGTAGGCGGATCATTTGAGGTCAGGACTTTGAGACCAACCTAGCCAACATGGTGAAACCCCATCTCTACTAAAATATAAAAATTAGCCAGGCATGGTGGTGCATGCCTGTAATCCCAGCTACTCAGGAGGCTGAGGCAGGAGAATTGCTTGAACCCGGGAGGTGGAGGTTGCAGTGAGCCGAGATCGCGCCATTGCAGTCCAGCCTGGCTGACAAGAGTGAAACTCCAACTCAAAAAAATATATATTTTTTAGAAAAAACTGGTGGTTTATGACAAGCCTATTTCAAAGCTGATTGTGTTACTGGCTCTGAGTAATTCACTGTTATGCTAGTTTTCCAAAGGTTTGAGTTCAGGAAAACCTCAAACATAGTGGCTAAGTACTTTTCCTTTCCTTTCCTTTCCTTTTAAAACCCTGTTTATTTTCAGAGCCATTTAATCCATATGTTTTAGATCCATTTCCTTGTTACTCAGCAAAAGGTTGTTTTGCACCAACATTGCTGAGCCGTGAGTGAGCCCGCTCGCCTCTGTTCCGCTCCAACTGGTGCTCGTTGCTGAGCTCCATGCTCACGGCCAGTCAACTCCAAAGCCTTTGATTAGACACAAGGAAACGCAGGCACTAGAAGCAAAAGCAAAATCAATAATATTGACCCTGTCTTTATTTAGAATTTTGCTATTTGGTTCATCATGAAATTTTGGGTGCTGATCTTGATTTTTGAAATGTTGCATTGCACTATTCTTTATATGGATCATTGAGTTTTATGGTGGCCTCTTCAATTTTGCACCCAAGGTGAGTGCCTCCCGTGTCTCACGCTCATCCTGTCCCTGGTAAATCCCACCCACCTCCAGGGCTCATTCTGGTTAGAAGGTCAACATCCCAGTCAGTGTGGATTCTGCTGTGGTCTCCCAGGCAGAGATCAGTACCAGAGACAAGGCAGACAAGCCCTTTGGTGATGCTAAAGGCAACTCTGAGCCCCGTTGATTTGCATTTGGGGTGTGGGACTCCCAGAGAAGGTGGAGAAGACAGGAACACGTGTACTCTTCAGACTTGTGATCTGAAGCTGCAAGGAGAACCTTGCTTCCCTTTCTTTTTGGAGAGGACAGGAATTGTGGTGCTCCACAGCACAGTGTTTTGCAAATTCTATTGGGCTGATGTGTCACTGGTCTGTGACTTCTTAAAAAGCCACTGAGTTCATCAATCCTCAATTCAGATTTCTCAATTCCATTCCTGGTACTGACAGAGAAACTTTGGCTTTGGGACTTGCATATGCAGGGATTTCTTCTTGCTTAAATGGTTCTTTAGAAATAAAAAGGCATGACCATCTCAGTGGTGTCTGTTTGGTTGGTAGCTTTGAAGAGGCTTGGAGATTCCTCTGACCACATAATTGTAGGTTGTGTATATGCATGAACTTTCCAGGTGACTGAGAGACAGCTGAAATCTGTTTTGTGTTTTAAAATCATGGTGTACTGTTACAAATCGTAACACATTAACATATCCTGGAATTTTCTGCGAATGGCCATGTAGCGAAGTTCATTTTCACTTTAAACATCTCCATATAAAATTTCTTTAAATAAAAAGCTATTTTTGACACACAGAAAAGATTATCGTTCCATTGAATCTTGGTTAACAGGCATGAACTCCCGCTTCTGCTCTTTGAGGTTGTTTGAGGACACCACCCCTCTGAGCTCAGGGGGAACGAGGGGAGAGTCACTAATTAAATAGAGCCCTGCTCATGGAGGGCCCTTGGTGGCCACTGTGGGATATGTGGTGCTGAAGTCTGTGGTTTCCCTCAATAGAGATGGCTTCTCATCTCAGCCATGTTCCAACACAATGAAGAGTCCTTTCTTCATTCAGAGACACGACCCCTACTTGCCTTGAAGGCAGAGACTTTTCATGCTCTGTTTTACTCCCAAGGGCTGGCACATAGTAGGTATTCAAATATTTTAAAAATATATGAATAAATGAGCCCTGCATCTGAGCACCAGCCCCCAAGCATGTACATTTCTCAGTATATTCGGTGTTGACTCTTGGGTATTCTGCTCTGATATTTGAATGAAACTAATGCCCGCTAGTCAATTTCTCAGAGGTCCCTACTCCTCTGTCCTTGTGGTTATTTCCATCATCATTATTAAGATTCAGTGTTTATTGACCACCTAAAACATTCAGACTGAAGCAGAGAGCATTGCATGCATCATCTTATTTAAACTTCCTGACAACTGTGAACAAGACATGGTCCCGTTTTGCAGATGGAGAAGACTCAGGAAAGCTGTAACCCTCACGCAGCTCCAGGTGGAGGTCACTCGGCTCAAGGTGGTGGAGTTGGAACTTGGACCTCTGTCACTGTGAGTCCAAAAGCTCTTTTTAATAACAATGTTGCTCGAATCTTGAATTTTGAAAAAGCATGTTTAGGGGAATATGAGAATTCACAGTAGATCAGTTTTATAGAATAGTATTCATAGAGTTGAATTCATTGAGAGTAATTGCAACCTGAATGCATTCAGCGTTGACCCACCAATTCTTTCTAAACACTTGGGATTCAGAGATGACTCCACTGCATCTCCCTCAATGGAGAAGCTCACAGTTTAGTTGGGGTGACAGACGGACATTCAGCTACCTACAATCCATGCTGTAACAGACACATAAGGCAACACAGAAGCAGTACAAAGTGATGGTAAACTACTCTGCTGGGGAACGAGACAAGGTGTCATGGAGGAAGTGATATTTGATTGGGCCTGAAAGGACAGTACAATTTCTCCCAGGCCAGAGAAGAGAGGGTTAAGAAGGAAGGAATATCCTGAACTGCATGAAGAGGATCCAAAAAATGGATATTTAGAGAAGAACTTTCCTGTGGCTGGAAATGAGATCACCAAGGTGGAGCAGGGCTGTAGATCCTTAAAAGCTGAGTCAGGGAGTTCAGCCTTTCACCTGAGTGAAGTCTGTGCTCAGCGGGTAAGCATTAGGCCCTTGTTCCTGGTGGCAGGTGGCTAAGGTTGGGCTTGCCTTCCTCCCTCCCAAGGGTGGTGTCCTTGGTAGGAAATACATTCTAGAATCCCAATCCTTGCTCTAGAATAGTGGATAATGTAGCTGCTAGGGCTTGGAAAATACCCTTGAGCAAGAAGGATAACTGCACTGCCCAAAGTGAATTGTTGGTACCGGGGTCATAGGGTCCAAAAGGCAATAGAGAGAACATTAAATTAGAGACATTTCAGGGGTGTGCTGTCCCAAGTCACTGCCAACATGAGCTCTCTTTCCTCTGCAAGTAAAGGCTCCAAGCCTTTGGGGAAAATTTTCCAAGCCTCCTAATCCCAGACCTTGTCTCACAACATCCCTTTGGACTGATGCGCCCATTTCCTGTATCCAACCTCAGGGATGGGGTGAGGAGGGTTTATCCTGTGGGCTCTGTGCTGACTTTTCATAAGCTGTGCAGATACTGTGATTTTTTTCATAATTCTTCATCAATTCTTGGGCAAATTTCTAACTGCCTTGTTGACTGTCCTGTAGCAGAGGTGGCAGAGAGAACATGGGTTAAAAGGACAGCACTTCAAGTGAGACTCACCTTTGGGAAGGAGGGAGTAGTCACCATGAAGGTGACCCAAAGTAAACGGCAGTGGTTACCATTGAATGGCAGAACCCTGGTTATCACAGCTGGGTTTCCCACAGGGATCTGATCTGTGTTACCCACAAGATCAGAACAATTTATCACTAATTATGGTTTTGAATATGAAGCTTAGATGAGCACTTCCTAAAATGCGTTTCTCAGGAGCATCGCTTGTTCATGCTGTTACCAGATAGTCTGAGGTCAAACATGTTTGAGATAAACTGGGCTAAACAAAGTCACCCTGTTTTCACTTTCCAAGATCTTCTCAATGCCTTTGTAAACCAGCGTGCACCGTGGCTCTCTGGGACAGGTGCACAGTGTAAATGCACTATGGGAGGTGCATATCCCAGATGTGCTGGTCTAGAGAGTTCCCTTTCTATTTTCACAGAGGACTTTGTGAGACTTGGGTGCTGTGGGACCTATGTTGGGGAAACACTGAGCTAAATATTTACGCGTGGAATAGGGTGAAAAACACACCAAGTGCGACTGGGCATCCCTGCCAGAAACTCTTCATAGGTGCTCATTACGGTTTGATGAACACTAGGGCCCTCTTTGAACTTAAATAGAATCCTTTTGTCAAATTCCTTTTGTTATCTTTATGATTTTATTTTTAGGTCGATGTGTTGCCCGAGTGTGTTCCTGATTTTCGGGATTTGAAAAGTGGGACAACTTGAGGTCAAACACCCTCCAGCACTTTATCTTTGCTTTTCTGTCATCTGTAACTTTTCTGTGGTTTAATCACGGATGACCTAGGAGGCCTGCTTGGCTTCTAGACAAGGCAGGAGCTTGTTCCAAATGGTCTCCAATCAGACACTTCTCCTTCACACAAATTAACAGCGAGCTTGCAGACACTTATAGTATCCCTGTTCATGTGACTACTTTTTCAACCAGAAGTTTTCCCTTTGCCTGTCTGACTCATTCACTCATTTATTCCCGCATTTAGCCATTTACTGAAGTCAGCTTATAGTACTGCAGAGGCTGCTAGGCTCTGGGGATGCAGCCTAGCACTGGGGTTGCAGCAGTGTCCAAAATGAGCTGGGACCTGCCTGCATGGAGCTTAAAGTCTAGGGCACAGCTCGGGGGGGCAGTGGGAAGTTGGGGAGGAATAGCATGGGGAGAAATGACAGATATAGGTGATGGGGAGGAAGCAGCAAACCACAAAGCCACGTATGTACCTATGCAACAATCTTGCATATTCTTCACATGTATCCCAAAACCTAAAATGCGATAAAATATATATTAAAAAATAATAATAAAGTCTAGGGCAGTGCTGTCCAGCAGAGGTATCATAGGTGACACATTTGGGATTCTGAGTTTTCTAGTAGCCCCACTAAAACAAAGTTAGAAACAGGTGAAACTAACTTTAATTATATACTTTACTTTCACCTCATACATCCAAAATATTGTCACTTCAACAGGTAGTCACTATAAAAAGTAATGAGACTGTTTACATTCTTTTCATACCAAATCTTCAAAACTGGTATGTATATTCTGCTTACAGCACATCTCAATTCAGACCCGCCATGTTTCCAGTGCTTAATAGCCTCAGGTGGCTAGTGAAACAATGTAGGTCTAGGGAGAGAGACAAATATAAAGAAATAGATATGGGCTGGGCGCAGTGGCTCACACCTGTAATCTCAGCACTTTGGGAGGCTGAGGTGGGCAGATCACAAGGTCTAGAGATCGAGACCATCCTGGCCAACATAGTGAAGCTCCGTCTCTACTAAAAATACAAAAATTAGCTGGGCATGGTGGCATGTACATGTGGTCCTAGCTACTTGGGAGGCTGAGGCAGGAGAACTGCTTGAACCTGGGAGGCAGAGGTTGTAGTGAGCCAAGTTTGTGCCACTGCACTCCAGCCTGGTGACAGAGCAAGACTCCGTCCCAAAAAAAGAAAAAAATAGATATGAAAAAATCATGGGTATATGTGATTCCAAACTGTGGTCAGTGATATGAAGCAAAGTTGAAAGTTTCCAGGAGAGAAAACGGGATCTGGTGCACGTGGCTGGTGGAAGTAGAAGTGGGAGCAGGGAGAGAAAGCCTCTTTTGGGAAGTAACATTTAGGCAGAGCCTAGGAAGATGGTGAGTAGAAACTGGAAAAACCAAGGGAGGGGGCAAGAATGTGCTAGGGAATGAGGATGTGGAGAGGACCCAAGACACAGAGCAAGAGAAGCCCATACTGGCTGGGGAAAGTGAGGTGAGGAGCAGGACTGAAGGGGAGACAGGGGTGAGGGGCAGCAGGGCGATCATGCAGCATCTTGTAAACCAGCGCTTAGGGCTGTGAACATTATCCTGAAAGTAATGGGAAGACATGAAATGCTTTCAAGCAGGGGAGTTACATTATCTGATTTGTTTTGTTTTGTTTTGTTTTTTTAAAGGGATCCCTGTGGCTGCTCTGTGTCTGGGTAGGTGGAGGTGATAGGCAATGGTTAGCAAAAATAAATGCAGGAAGATAACAGGGGATGCTATGGTGCTGGGCTAGGGGCCTGCTGGTGGTGGGTTGGAGTGGAGGCAGTGGGGAAGAAGTGTGTGTGGATCCAGCTGGTGTTTAGGAGACGCAGTGGACAGATGGAACGGTGCATTAGACATAGGGTGAGGGACGGGGAGGTGTCCAGGAGAACTCCCAGGTTGTGGGATGAGCACCGTGGTGGATGAGAGAAGACTAGAGTGGGTTTGGGTTTCAGATTGGACCCCAGGACACCCTGGGCATGGCCACGCAAGAAACCTCGCATCTTTTCAACAGAAGTTATTCATTGTGCAGCAGCTCAAACCTGTCATCCCAGTGCTTTGAGAGGCCAAGGTGGGAGGATTTCCCGAGTCCAGGAGTTCAAGGCCAGCCTGGGCAACATAGTAAGACCCCATCTATAAGAAAAAGAAATTGCCAGGTGCTGTGGCTCATGCATGTAGTTCTAGCTACTTGGGAGGTTGAGGCAGGAGGATCACTTAAGCCCAGCAGTCTGAGGCTGCAGTGAGCCATGATTGTGTCACTACACTCCAGCCTGGATGACAGGAGAAAAATTTTTTAAATAATATGGAGTTTTTTGTTATTATCTCTGAGGAAATGATAAAAAATTACCTCTGATTTATTTTACAATTTATTATTGCAGTTATACATAGCTTGTACCAGAAAATATGTTCACAAAGAGGTGCCTTTTCCCACAACTTTAAACTTTGAAAACAGGATTTAATCAGAGTTTAGCTAGGATTTTATTTTGATTTATTTGTTTGTTTTTAAGATGGGGGTCTCACTATGTTGCCTAGGCTGGTTTCAAATTCCTGGGCTCAAGCGACCCTCCTGTCAGCCTCCCAAGCAGTTGGGACTATATGTGCGTGCCACCATGCCTAGCCTTAGCAAGTATTATAAAGAGAGCTTTGAATTAGCTTCTCTTTGTGGACTACACTCAGAACTATAGAGTGCTTAGTAAATGGATAGGGCTGCAGTGAAAACCACTGTCATTAATGTGTGCTCTTAGTGGGTCCATTTTTCATCCTGGAGAGCTCTGTTGGAGACCTTGAAACCCAAGATGTATTCGAAAGGAGACTGCCAGGAAATGAATGAGCAGACTCAGGGTATTCTGATGAAATACTCTTATCACAAGACTCTTGGTGCATGCTCCATGTCCCACTTACATGTGTGATAAGCCACCAATGCATTTATAAGTCTGAGCTGTTTCCCGAAAAAGATACCAAGGCTTGAGGGCTCTGAGTCACTGCCAGGTAGATCAATAAAGCCATGAGATGCTG